TCTGTTTTTATTCCAATATCTTGCTGTTTTGGTTATTACAGTTTTGTAGTATATTTTGAAGTCAGGTAATGTAATGTCTCCAGCCTTTTTGCTCAGTATTGCTTTGCTATTTGGGGTCCTTTGTAGTTCCAGCTGAATTTTAAAATTGTTTTTTCTTTGTCTGTGAAGAATGCCATTGGTATTTTGATAAGAATTGCATTGAATCAATAGGTTTCTTTGGATGGTATGATCATTTTAACAATGTTAATTCTTGAAATTCGTGAACTTGGGATGTCTTTCCATTTTTTTGTGTCCTCTTTTATTTCTTTTTTCAGTGTTTTGTAAAGTTTTCCTGATAGAGGTCTTTCACCTCCTTGGTTAAATTTATTTTTAGGTATTTTTAATAGGTATTGTAAATGGGATTGTTTTCTTGGTTTTTTTCTCAACTAGTTATTGGTGTATAGAAATGCTACTGATTATTGTATGTTGATGTTGTATCCTACAGCTTCACTGAATTTGTTTATTCGTTCTAAGAGCTTTTTGGTGAGATCTTTAGGTTTTTCTATATATGAGATCATGTCATCTGCAGAGAGGGACAATTTGACTTCCTTTTTTTCCAATTTGGATGTCCTTTATTTCTTTCTCTTGCCTAATTATTCTGGCTAGGGCTTCCAGTACTATGTTAAATGAGAGTGGTGAAATGGAGGTTTCCTTATCTTGTTCCTGTTTTTAGAGGAAAGGCTTTCAGCTTTTCCCCATTCAGTATGATATTAGCCGTGGATTTGTTATACATAGCTTTTATTATGTTGAGCTATGTTCCTTCTATGCCTAATTTGTTGAGAGTTTTTATAATACTGTGGAGAAATACTGAATTTTTATCAGATCCTTTTTTGTCCTTCATTCTGTTGACGTGATGTATCCCATTTATTGATTTGCATGTGTTGAACCATCCTTGCATCCTTGGAATAAATCCTACTTGATCATGGTGTATTATCTTTTTGATTAGCTATTGGTTTTTATTCACTAGTGTTTTGTTGAGGATTTTTGCATCTGTGTGTTCATCAGGGATCTTGGCCTGTAGTTTTCTTTTTTTGTTGTGCCTTTGTCTGGTTTTGGTATTAGGGTAATGCTAGCCTTGTAGAACAAGTTAGGAAGAATTCCTCCCTCTTTAGTTTTTAGAATAGTTTGAGAATAATTGCTGTTAAATGTTTGGTAGAATTCAGCAGTCTG